AACCTGAGTAAGATGGAGACCAAACTGTGAATGTTTTCAGTACTTTCTGTGGAGTAGTGACCACTTAAAAAATAAAAACAAAAATAAAAAAAATAGAACAACAACAACGAAACAGATTTGGGGGCATCAAAGCTAAAGAAGTAGAGATCATGAAAACAGCTATTTTGGAGGAATGGGTTATAAAGGAAAGAAAAAAACTTGGGACCACCACTAATGAAAGAAGTAAGATTAAGGAAGTGAGTTTTGTTTGATTATTTAGGATAATTACAGAGCCTGCCTGTGATTATGGGAATTGTCTAATAGAGAGGGAGTGGGAGGGTAGAATTGAAAGAGTGATTTCCTTGAGAAGATGAGAGGAGATAGGATTGAGGGTGGCATTAAGGGAATGGTTGATTAGGACCAGAATCTTCTATTGTAACTGGAGGAATGGAGAGTGGCTTGTAAATTTGATGGGGAGTTGGGGGAAGGGTGATGAGAACTTTCTCTGATGCTTCTCTTTTTCCAGTGAAGCAAAAATGGAAGGAAATGGGTTTGAGAAGAGAGGAGGAGACATGAAATAGCATCTTGGAGAGTGGAAACCTTACTAAAGAAATATAGCAGGATTGCTGTGAAGATTTCTGTTAACACGTTTAACATGACAGTCAACCAATTCTATAATTTTTTTCCCAGCCACTTTCAGTTGCTCCCTTCTCAACAGAGAGAAGGCATATCACTGGATTCTTCCTTTTATGAGATAAATGCAGTGATTAAAGACCAGAGGAAGGAAATGAAAGGCATTAGAAAAGGAATGAAAGGTCCTGAAGTATAAGCTGATTAAGGAGGGAATTAAAAACAAGAGGAATGCATAAAGGATTGCGAAAAATTAGAGAGGGATATTGTTCATTGATTTGGTTTACTCATTCACTACAACAATTGAGCTTCTGCTATGTGCCAGACTGTACTGGGTCCTGTGAATATGTTCGTAAGCAATAGGATATAGGTCTTCTCACGTTGTACGTGATATAGGTCTGCTCATGGAGTAGGGTGAGGTGGATAGTGAGGAATTGAAACCACTCGGTATTACAGTCATACGTTGCTGAGCGCAGTGAAGAAATGGAGAGCGTCAGCAGTGCAGAGAGCAGTGGTGACACGGTGACGTGTTCAGGGAGGGCGTCCCCCGCAGTGAACCCTGAACCGAGGCCTGGATGAAGCGCAGGCGCACACTGCGAGTATCTGCGATCCGTGGGCTCGGCTGAGGGAACAGCAACTGTGTTTGTATTTTTTAATGTCATTAGTAGGTGAATGGTAAGGCCAACAAAGCCGTGACAAACAAGGTATTTTTTTCTTTCCCTATTGTGTTTTAAAGTGATCTTTCCATGATACCAAAGTGACACAGCAGGTTTAAACAATTGATTGTTGCTCAGAGTCTTTAGAATGGGCAGTTAGTTCAGTCAGAAGTCTCATTGAAGCAGTGGAAATGTTTAAAATAAATATAAATATACCCTGTGTAATACATTCGTGTCTAATTTATCATTCCATCCTCCAGTGACCAGCATTGGAATGCCACACATAATAGGGCTCAGTTAATATTTGAGAGAATTTCCATGCACACATATAGTTTAATAGTTACAAACAAAAACATTCCCCCTTCAAACCTTTGCAAAGAAGTTCTTCTAAGGGGAGAGTTTAAACACAAACCTGAGGTTCCTTCCCTTTGTCTGAGAATTGGGGATTAGCTTTAAAAGCCATGTTTTTTAAGTGTAGATACAGTTTATGTACAGTTCACTTGTTTACAGTATGCAGTTTCTTGAGTTTTAGCATGTTTACAAAGTTGTACAACCATTACCATTACCTAATTCCAGAACATTTTTGTCACTCCCAAGACCCTGACAGCCGCCGATCTACTTCCTGTTGCTATTTGCCTGTTCTGTGCATTTCACATACGTGGAATCACGCAATATGTCTGTCGTTTTGTGTTTGGCTTCTTTCACTTGGCATGTTGTTTTCATGATATTATTAGCAGATATTAGTGCTTTATTCCAATTTATAGCTGGACAATATTCCATTGTGTGAATATCCCATTTTTTAAAAATCTGATCATCAGTTGATAAGACATTTGGGTTATATACATTTATGGACTGTTATGAATAATGCTACTGTGAGCACTCATGTAAAAAGTTTTGTGTGGACATATGTTTTTAATTCTCAGGTATATGCCTACAAGTATAAGTGGCTTTTTAAAAGCACAACTTTAAGAATGCTTAATCTTTAAACTGTTTCTCATAATATATTACCGAGTTTCCACACTATATCTGTTTTAAAACAATAAACTAAGTTATTACCAGTTATTGATTTAAGGTACTAGTTGAATTACTTAATTTTTCTCTAGAAATCTGAGTAACACTACCCTGCAGGGAATGTTGCCGGTGTTCTGTAGCTCACTGCCACTGCTTGGGTGCCCACACCTTTGCAGCATTCTGATGTTGCTCTGGGAATGCAGCTCTGAAGAGGACATGGCTTACCTTTTAGTTAATAAATGCTGTTTCCTGGAAGAATCATGAAATCTTGAAATTTAAGGCTAGATAGAATTCTTGGAATGCATCTAATTAATCCCTTTGTTTTATAGATCTTTAAACTGAGGGAGAGATCCAAGAGGTTAAAATGCTTGCCTGGCTTCCTCGAGATGGTTAGTTCGAGAACTAGGATGAGAAGGCAGCTCTCTTGACTCTGCATTTTGTGCTGTGACTACTAAACTTCACAATGACTCTGTTGTCTGAATTTGAAGTCATAAAACAAAAAATGAAAGAATTTATGTAGGTGGCATTTTCAGTTTACAGAAAGCACTTTCAGAGTCTCTTAGGGAAAAGCTGACTCTCAGCTTTATATTTATTAATTCACAGGGACAGGGAGGCAAAATAAGGGTGATACCATCACTTTTAAAGGGAATACCGTCTCTTCTAGTTTATGCATAAGGAAGAAAGAATTGTAGGCATTTATAAACCAAACAGACGTAAACAAAGGTCAGTTATTCCTATTAACTTCCCTTACCAGTCAGCCTTTTTCCTTCTCATCACATTCTAACATTTATGTACTAGTAGTTTAAAAAGAGGTATAAGGATTATACCTAATTATATTTTCCAAGTGTAGCCAAATTACACAACAGATTATGCAGTTAATAACTTGGACCTTTTAAATATCATTCTGGTTATAGTTTATTCCTCTCACAGTGAGTCAGAAACGGGAATGGGTTCATTGACTATTTCCAGTAAACAGCTTCCCACCAGCAGGTGTTGTGACTGATGGGAATGGGTAGGACTGGAAGGCACACTTATTTGGAGATCTCAGAAATGTACCCTTGATCCACACATAGGGCTGTGCGTGAGGCCACAGGCAGCTGAGTGTGTTGGCAGCACTGCAGTGACACCCCCCACACACACCCCTCTCCAGCTCACAAGAGGCTCTGGTCTCCTCTGAGTCTTGGAATACTGCTCCCTACCACAAAGCAGAGAACAGGCGCCATGTACGGACCTGTGGCCCAGGCCCCACCCTCTGTGTGATTTTGGTCACATCACCTCAGGGTCCACATCTCTCACTTGTAAAATTGGGGGAGGGTAGCTGTGCACTGGTTCTTTAAAAATTCTCTTGGCTTTAAAATGCTGTGATTCTACAACCTACTCTTTTAAGATATTGAGTATATTGGATGATAAGTAGTATCTATAGATGATAAGAGCTCAGGCTTTAAAGTAATTCGAAACCATCTTTGAATTCTGTGTGACATGAGGCAATTTACTTAACTTCTGTACACTTTTATTGTATAATGTTCAATACAATTTTATTGTATAATATTGTATAATAGTTCAAAGGGGAATAATGATAATACAATACAATTACAGTACTTAACTCATAGACTGTTGAGGTGGAAATGGTATTATAAATGCAAAGTCTTTAGCACTGTGCCTGATATATCCTATAATTTAGCAATTATTTATTAGTAGTGAGTAGTGTTATTATTTCCTTTAGGAATGTTTTATACTAATAATATACTAGAAACAAAATAATTCCAGCAAATTTTAGTAACATTACAAGGTAGGTAGACTGTAGTTTTGTTTAAAAGATGATGATCTTAAAAAAAGGATGATGATTAATGAACCTTGAGACAAACTTGAAAAAAAAAACTCATTATTTAGGTGATTGAATGGTAGGCATGATGGGAAAAGAAATGAGATGCTGAGGTTAAGGTTATGGAGCAAGTAAAAGAAATCTAACCTATTCTTAGCATTATTGTCAACTATCATCTTCCTGTTACATATTTTTGTTCTTTCTTAATCTAGAGATAGAATCATCTATGGAAAATTTACTAAACTTAATGGCTATTCAGAAGTGAATCCCTGTATTATATTTTAAAACAACAAACTTATTCTTTTCATGTAATATGTAGAAATAAATAGTAAATCTATCCAACCCCAAGTAAGCTGCCACCCATAATCTCTGCTCTTATTTTTGCATGTACTATATTGGCATGAACCAAGGACTTAGAAGCTTAATTATTTTGTAAACAGATACTCTGATATTTTTTTCTCAGGATATTGATATTGTCACTATTCAGTAGCAGTTTGCAAAACAATGTGAAGGAATTTGTTTTATGATAAAATATTTATAGAATCAAAACCCATTTGTGAAATACTTGGAGAAAGTTGGAAACGCAAAGTTTGGTGTTGATGTCTTGGAAAATTTCTCTTTAGTTCTCCAAAGGAGAGGTGAGCTGTCTGTGAATATGTAAGTGACATGATATATCATCTTAGAATATGTATGTCCTATAGGTACCATACTGATTCTGTCACTGTCTTAGGTTACTTCACCGTTGTATGTGATGAAGAAGAGAAATGTTTTGGCTTCTCACTACAATCTCACTAGCTTCTGATGTGAACAACTCAATCCAGAAATGATTTTCACTATATTGTAATTTCTGATTAGGGTGGTGTTCTTCAGTCTCTAATATTTCTTTCATACTTCTTTTATAGGAGGCCAATTGTAAGAACATCCTTCTAACAAAAGATTTTGAAAGAGACGCACAAAAGCCATCTCCAAAAACCAAGGTAGGCTATCTCTGCTCTTTAGGCAGAAACATTTAGGAAGACTCTTTATCTTCTTGTGTTTCCATGTTTTGTTGCTTGCATTTCCCTCAGCACCACCACCCCATCTTCTTTGGACCTAGTGGTCTTAAATATAACATATACTTTATATACTTTATATGTTATATTTACTGTGTAATCCAGGATTATAGTCATCCAAAAATGCTCAACACACTTATTATTTAAGTGATACTTTTATTTTTGTGTTACCCACTATTTTTTTGTATTTTACATTGATGTATAGTTGATTTACAATGTTGTGTCAGTTTCGAATGTGCAGTAAAGTGATTCGGTTGTACCTAACGTACATCTATTACCTTGCAGATTGTTTTCCCATATAGATTATTACAGAGGGCTGAGTAGCGTTCCCTTGTTGATTACCTATTGTATGTATAGTAGTGTCTATATGTTAACCCCAACCTCCTTATCCTCATCCCTACCTTTCCCCTTTGGTAGCCATAATTTGTTTTCTAAGTCTGTGAGTCTGTCTGTGTTTTGTAAACAAATTCATTTGTGTCATTTAGATACCACACATAAGTGATATCATATATTATTTGCCTTTCTCTTGTATGACTTACTTCACTTAGTATGATAAACTCCAAATCCATCCGTGTGCTGCAAATGGCAATATTTCATTTTTTTTATGACTAATATTCCGCTGTATGTGTGTATGTGTATACATACACACACCACATCTTCCTTATTCATTCCCCTGTCAGTGAACATTTAGGCTGTTTCTATGTCTTGGCTGTTGTAAATTGGGGAGCATGTATCTTTTTGAATTATGGTTTTCTCCAGACATATGCCCAGGAATGGGATTGCTGAATCATATGATAGCTCTATTTTTAGTTTTTTGAGGAACCCCCATACTGTTCTCTATAATGTCTGTACCAGTTTTCATTCCCACCAACAGTGTAGGAGGGTTCCCTTTTCTCCACATCCTCTCCAGCATGTATTAAGACTTTCTGATATGAACTGTCATACATATGACAGAATAAAGGGTATAATGTGTAAAATTTTGTTTTCCTTATTAAGATAAATTTCAAAATGCACATATTTGTTTTGCTACTGAAAAGAAAAACTCATTGAACTGAAATATATCATGAGAATTTGATACACCCAGAAGAGTGATTGCATTAATTTTAGAGCCCCTTTCCAAATCTTAAATCTTTTAAGAACTTTTCCCATATACTGGGCTTTCCTGGTGGTTCAGAGGGTAAAGCGTCCGCCTGCCATGGGAGATCCAGGTTTGATCACTGGGTCGGGAACATCCCCTGGAGAAGGAAATGGCAACCCACTCCAGTATTCTTGCCTGGAGAATCCCATGGACAGAGCAGCCTGGTAGGCTACAGTCCACGGGGTCGCAAAGAGTCAGACACCACTGAGTGCATTTCACTTCACTGTATGTGTGTATGTGTATACATACACACACCACATCTTCCTTATTCATTCCCCTGTCAGTGAACATTTAGGCTGTTTCTATGTCTTGGCTGTTGTAAATTGGGGAGCATGTATCTTTTTGAATTATGATTTTCTCCAGACATATGCCCAGGAATGGGATTGCTGAATCATATGATAGCTCTATTTTTAGTTTTTTGAGGAACCTCCATACTGTTCTCTATAATGTCTGTACCAGTTTTCATTCCCACCAACAGTGTAGGAGGGTTCCCTTTTCTCCACACCCTCTCCAGCATGTATTAAGACTTTCTGATATGAACTATCATACATATGACAGAATAAAGGGTATAATGTGTAAAATTTTGTTTTCCTTATTAAGATAATTTCAAAATGCACATATTTGTTTTGCTACTGAGAAGAAAAACTCATTGAACTGAAATATATCATGAGAATTTATTTGATACACCTAGAAGAGTGATTGCATTAATTTTAGAGCCGCTTTCCAAATCTTAAATCTTTTAAGAAGAACTTTTCCCATATACTGGGCTTTCCTGGTGGTTCAGAGGGTAAAGCGTCTGCCTGCAATATGGGAGATCCAGGTTTGATCACTGGGTTGGGAAGATCCCCTGGAGAAGGAAATGGCAACCCACTCCAGTATTCTTGCCTGGAGAATCCCATGGACAGAACTTTTTCCATCTTTTTTTCCTGGAAAATTGTTTTAACTACTATGCTTTTCTTTCCAGATCAGACTATTTTTTTAATCTTTTTCACTAATATATTTTCTATACAAATTTACATAACTTTAGTTCTCTAGAAGAAATCTTGTTTACTGTTAAAAATTCAGTGTCAAAAATATGCTCACCAAAACAAATTCATTAATAAATATAGGATTTCAGAAACATTTTTAGGTTAACATTTGCTCATTATCTTCATTTTTATTGGTATACGTACTTTTAGGTGAAGAGACCTTAGATGAATCACTTTCTAAATGTAAGATAATCTTGAAACCTGTCATAAAAATTGTTTGATGGGTTCTCTTATTCTTATGAAATTAATCCAATTTGGAATATTTCAGGCATATAGAGAATCAGTAATTAATGTGCATTGATTACCCTCCGTGAGTCTCACTGTATTGTTCATGACCAAGCTAATTAAATAGAGAAATTGCTTCATTGGTTAATCTGCAGTTTGTGACTTTAGCTTTTTTGTGGTCTTACATGAGCAAGTTTAAATTTACATGAGCATGCTAATCTTTGCTTAGCTTTGCTTACTTTAGAGGTGATTAAAACTCTTGTAGTTACAAATCCCCAGAAATGCAGCAGAGCATGTGAGCTATACACATGCTTATAAGGCACACAAGATTATAAGGCACTAACTCTTTCCCCCAGATTGTATTAAAGATCTTTTTTCTAGCAGTTGATCTTTGAAAACTGAAGCTGAAAACACCTTCAAAATATAGTTGATATAAAAAACAAAATGTGGATGGTGTGTCCTTTCTAGAATGACTTAGGGAACTGTGAGAATGATGTGTATCCTTGGTACTAATGTTACTTCATTTGGCCTCCATAGCGGTCTTTCTCAGACATCTCTAGTTACAGCCGTATGTGCCTTGGACAGCTAAATATTTCTGATCCCTATATGGCTAGAGATGTAAAATGGTAATCCAGAAATGGCATGTGTCCCATTGGCTCTGGAGATGTCTCTCTAGTCTAAACCATCTGTCCCCATCTGTGTTCCCTCTGCTAGTTGTCTCTGCTCTTAGGCAATGGGGAGGATTGTATTTCTCTCCCTTACATAGGAAAACCTCTTCTTGACCTGAGACTGCTGGAAAAAATAAATGACACCTTCATTACACAGTGCCATGATACTTCCTGGATGAGCAATGATCACCAGCCCTGTTAGTTCAAGGACATGCTCATATAACCATTTCATGCCCCATACGGGATAGACTGCATATGCAAACAAGTAACTGGAATAGACAATATAGAAGGGAACATCAAACAGATTTTTAAAGAGGTGTAAAACATAGACATATTTTCTTGTAACCTAGTAAGATCATGATTTGAGGAGAAGAGACAAAATCTTCTGCCTAATACAAATGCCAGTGACTCTAAATAAGCCTCATAGCTCATGTTCATTGGTCACAGTATAAACCCTGAAGAGGATCCAGGAACTGAGGGAAAAAAAACTGTCTTTCTTCTCTCTCCCCTTGGTGTATGACCTAGACTTCCCACTGAACTTGCTATGTTCTTGTTGACCTTGGTTAAAAAAAAAGTTCAGGCCATTGTATAAGAAGGCCTGTCCAATTAATTCAGCACTGGGTGAAGGTATAAAATACAAGATAATCTGTTTCCTTTCTGATTCCCTGATAGCTCAGTTGGTAAAATTAAAATTATAAGCACATAATAGTTTTAGTCACTGAATTCTCCTAGTGCTTTTATAGATGTTTCTTTTAGTAAACCAACTCATATTAACTATAAAATGTGTGATAAAAATAGTGCAGTTATCAAGTAAACAGTTATGTAGTAACTGTTTAATTATTTTTAAATGTAGCAACTGTTAAATTATTTTTATTTTAAGAGGTTAGTAATTTCAGGGATCATGCAACATTTATGAAGGAGATTTTATTCAAGATGAAACCAGTTGTCACATTTGTAGTTTCTTAAATGATTTTTTAAATGCCTATGCCTAGCAAAGTAAACTGGAAACTTAGACTAATGTAGAATTTTGAGAAATTCTAGTGACAGTATAGTTAAATTTACAAATTAAGTCATTTAATAAGCATTTAATTTTACCAAGATTCAAAGTTATTTTAAAGTCATTGTTAATGGATGTGAATGTATTTTGTGGTTGCTTTAACTTATAAAACATTCTAATTAGTATTCTGCTTTTCCACTGAACATTGTTTCAGTATCTGTTTCCATGCATCAGCTTAGTTTGTGTGCTTATTTAATAAAAGTAATAGTAGTAGTAGCAGTAATAGTGATGATTGCTAATACTGATCAAGTGCCAGACACTATACTTAATATATATATATATTATCTAGTAATCATAACATTTCATATGTTGTCATTACCATATTCAGCTATTTTGAAATTTTGAAACTGCTTCTAATTATCATTAATATAAAAAGCCTTACTTGATAAGTGTTAAACAAAGAGTAATTTTAAACACTTTTATTTTCTTAGGTTTTATGACCTATAGTAGAATTAAAAGATACAAATTGTTTTATGATTAATATACCCTAACATACCATCTCTCCTCCCTGTTTTGAAATTGTTTACAATTTCAGAGGAATCGGGTGGAGAGGGAGGTGAAAGGGGGGATCGGGATGGGGAATACATGTAACTCCATGGCTGATTCATGTCAATGTATGACAAAACCCACTGCAATGTTGTGAAGTAATTAGTCTCATAGTACTTTAATTAGATAGTGGAACATGTGTCTACGGAGCTGCCTGTCTACTTGCATTGGATCTGTGTCATGACTTAAAAACAAACCTCTGGTTTGTTACACCACTGAGATTTCTGAGTTAATTTGTCCCTTCCCTGTAATATAGTCTACCA